TTCTATTGTTCCAGTTGAATATTTAGACTCTTACTCACACTTTTATGACTATGAATGCTATTGCATTACGTAACAAATATGTCAAATCAAACCAATTAAATTTAATGACAGACACTCACTGGTAATCACCTTGACCTTGGTTAAATGTCATTGGAGAAATGAGAGAAAAACTCAAGCAGCGTTTGTTGTCTAATGCAATGATATTCATGCATTTTAAATTCATGTTAAATAGGAAAATATTTTTGAGGCCAATATAAACATATAGCAACAAACAAGATTTCCAGATTAACTTATTGAAAAATACTGGGAATACTCACCTACTAAAACAACTCCAATAAATAAACTAATGATTATCCTGAACATCCAGAACAGTCTCTGAAAAATAGGGCATTTTATTTTAATATTCATCTCTCCCTTTTCTGACACAAAATCTTTCACATTTTTCTACATCTTTGACTGAAGAGCTGATGTAAAAGACTTCACATTATGTTTGTAAATCAACAAGGGCACAGAAATGTCAACAAAACTGACAAAAAAAACCCATATATGTCATTTTAGTTTAAATGGTGTTACTGTACAGACCCAGAGTATTTTTAAAAACGAGCACAGAAAAGTCATCTATTTCCCTCAAAAATGCACATATTTGTAAAAATAAATAGGCCTGTATGAAATGGCTACTATGCTTGACAACTCAATTCAAGGTACAGCGAATCACCTTTCACCTGATGGTTACACAATTTGCACAATTTGAGACATTTTTGATGGCATTAAAGTTTTCCAAACGATATGAAACCATTTGAACAACAATTAGGTTTCTAAGAACTTGGCACGTATTTTAAAATATAATTTTTTTAAAGCTCTCACCCTTCGATCATCTCACATCCTTATTTATCATTGATCCTTATTAAAGTTGTAGATAGCCTATAAAAAAAGCGTTCTAGACAAACTGATCCAACTCACTGATTTGCCACGTATTCCCGGTAGAATGAAGAGGAAGCTGACAGCCAGAACCGAGAAAACCAGGATCACCACCAGCAGGCTGATGTCGAAGATGAACGGGCTCCTTTGTAGCGAGTAGAACGGGTAAATGCCATCGTAGAAAGTCATCTTCCCTCCACAGGCGAAAACTAAAGCTGAAAGCAGGACAGTGTTGGCCAGAGGCTCAGTTACCTGAAGATTGCAGATAACAGTCTAGTGTGCGAATTATACAGTGAATTTGAGGGGGGTCGAAATTTTAGGGCCCTTATTTA